TATATCAGTGAATCTCAACCTTTTGGCGTACCGGACCCCAGTCCAATTCAGAACCATCCTCAAGGACCCCCAGAACAAAACTGACTCATCTATGTATCATTTGTGTCTTTGTGAGGACCAAATACAGTCAAGTATAATTCAAGTTAGCTGACTTGTCCAGTATTTGATCTTATTATATATATATATAACATTTCTGTCCCCCTCACTTCTGAAATGATGGCTACGCCCCTGGATTACACTATGCATATACCACGGTATTTACAAATTACTCCGAGGTAATTTAAAGATTGTGCATGTCCAAAAGCATGGTACATTTTTAGAAATAAGGAAATTAGTGGTTTGTTGCTCATGGCATTAGGTTTAGGTTACAGTTACACTTAATAATTATCGTTTTATATTTCAGCTGACTGACAAAGGAAAGCGTCATTTGTCCTTTTCAGTGTCACTTTTGAATAACAGGACACGATTCAAACAGGTATGGCAACTCTGTCGCCACCATAAGCCCCGCCCTCTATTGCTGCGTCCAACAAAGCGATAGCATTCCCGCCGATGATTGGTCGAACGCATCGACCGTGCTCCCATTGGCTGAAGGCCCCGTCAATCAGGTGTGCCTAAAAATGCTTAAACTGTACAACTCCGGCTTTCGATATTCACAGAAAGAGGGATAAAGGCAGAGAAAGAGAGAGGGAGCGGACGCGAGATGAAATGATGTGACAAAACAGCGTCTTATGGATGATTTAGGGTGTATTTGAGCAGTTATGGTGCCACGGGCGCGTTTCGTTTCAGTCTGGGATTGATTTTTGTGAATGGAGATTTCGTCGCAGGCCTCGGACATCTGATTCATTTTCATCATCTGCTTGATTTACTGATCTTAGATTTGTTTTTATTTGCGATTTCGCGAGATGAAGAGAGTTAATAGTTTCCAGAGGCGAGTACAGAGGCTAATCAGCTAACGGGTCCGATTAAGTGCTGTTATGATTATTAATGCATTGTATGATCTCTCTGTTATTGCTCGTTATGTGTTTGTTGTTCATTTATGCAGTCTGTTTGATCAGAAATCAGATATTGAATGGATCATGCATCTTCAAGCTATATCCAGAGATCAGATCCTGCATCTTTATTTATTCTGTGCTTTTCACTGACATACAGGCACATCCTGATGTGATGCTTTTATGTTAATAATGCATGATATTTAATGTATTCAGTTCATGCATAGAAAGCGGAGTATTTTTTACTGACTCTATATTCTCTATTAAGAGATCAGACCGTATTTATTGTGGTCTGATCATGTAATTTTCAGTGCAAATCAAGCCAATAAGGTTTTTTATTGACTTTCTATTTTGGAGATAAAACCATGCATAGATTACAGATCATGTGTTTTTGTTGACTGTATATTGCATAATCACAGATCAGACCATAAACTCTATTCTTGATGCAGAAATCAGACCATGCACTGGGATAAAAAGTTCATCCTGCAACCTGAACATGTTTATATTGCATTCCATTTATAGGTTTTATATCGTTATTATTTGTTATTCTCTTGTAGATGCATGCTTTATTTATAGATCAGAACACACATTGAGTTTAAAGCATGTCCTGTGGTCTGATCATGCCAGTAAAAATGCAGTTTAGAGATGAGACGTTGCATTGAAATAAGATTGTCTCCATATTCTCTACACTGACTCCTAGATTCATTTCTGCAGTCTGATTGTGGTTTTCTGGTCTGATATCTGCTCTCCAAACATCAGCAGTGTCAGAATTGGTCCGCATGGGTGTTGGGACGCAGGGAGCGGGGAATGCAGCATGGATACGGATGCGTGTGTGTTTTTAATGAGCGTGCACCACTGCATCACACACCACCATGTTTGACATCACTGCTGCATCCTTGAGGAGTTTCAGACTCAAACAAACAAACACACACACACACACACACATGTGCATGAGTCACACTGCAGATTATGAGGCTAGTGTCCATTTACTGATGGGGTGATAGTGAAAGATATGAGAGAAATAAAAAAAAAAAAACCCGGCTCAGAATGAGTCACAGGGTGTTGTCTATGCACACATGCATATGTTATTTAAAAAAAATTAAATTTATTTATATTTTAGACTGATTCTGTCTCCTAACAAGGTAAAAAAACCCGGCTCAGAATGAGTCACAGGGTGTTGTCTATGCACACATGCATATGTTATTTAAAAAAAAAAAAATTTATTTATATTTTAGACTGATTCTGTCTCCTAACAAGGGTTTAATTGAGTTTAATTTTATTTTTATTATTATGTAGAAATGTTGTAGTGTGTATTTTGGAAACATTTGGATGCATTTGTTTTTCATGATGAAAACCTTTTGAAATTATTATTTTTTTTTAGACCATTATTTAAACATTATTGGTCACTACATAATTTGTGTCCATCTGGAATATGGTCATAATGGTGTTTAGTATCATTAATATATAGTATTATATTATCTATTAATATTCACAATTAGTTTTGATTTATATATATGTGTATATATATTTTTTTTTATTATTTATTTTTTTATTTTTTTTTCATTTTAATTTTAGCTACAGTTTTAATTTAGTTGTCTTTGTTTTAATCTTTTTAAATATGTTTTTAATTTCATTATTTTATCAGCTTTGAGTTATTTTCAGTTTTGGTAATTTTGGCAACTAACTGGAATATTTACGTAAAGTATAACTAAACCTTTTTTAGATTTTATTTTATTTCAGTTTTTTTTTTTCCCCATGAAGATGAATTTCAAAGATAATTTTAGTTAACGATAACAACACTGGTCCAAACGTATGTCAGTTGAAAGTCGTCTGTTTTCCGCTCTGTTATTATTAAATATGAATGCGTCGTTTGTTGTGTTTCAGGTTTATGAACACCCGAGCAGCTGTGAACCGCCGTTACCAGCCCACATGTTACGAGCACGCGGCCAACTGCTACACCCATGCCGTAACGCACATTCATTCTTTAATGAATAGAATTAAAGAGATCCAGCTAAGTGCTTATTTGGAGTGTCATGTGACACTCCTAAATGTTGGCATATGAAACGCTGATTTCCTCCTCAAACTCTGGCCTGCAGCTGCTGATTGTGCCGGCGTTCGTGGGAATGGCTCTCTTACACCGGCTGTCTGATGACCGCTGGGAGCGGATCACGGCCTGGGTGTACGGCATGGGTCTGATCGCTCTGTTCCTCGTCTCCACAGTCTTTCACATCATTTCCTGGAAAAAGAGCCACATGAGGTATGTTTGCCATCGTACAGCATTTTCTATTCCCTTAACTGCACTTCAGTTCTCACGACAGTGCAAATCATTTAGCTTTTCTTAACAGAGGTTTGTATTCTTTGACCACTATAGTGATTCTGTAGATTCTCTATTGATCAACTTTAATATGCATCATCATATGATATTTCAGGGCACATGGTACACAAACTCTGGTGTGACCACAATTCACATTAATATTGTCTCCTGTGTGTTTTGTTTCTCAGGACCATGGAGCACTGCTTCCACATGTGTGATAGAGTCGCCATATACTTATTTATCGCTGCCTCTTATACACCATGGTATGTTTTCTTTATACACATTTATTGCTTTTGCATTTAGATTTCAAAAGTTAAATACATCTTAAAAAAATAAAAAACTACCAACTTTATGTTTAAAGGGGTCATATGATGCTGCTAAAAAGAACATTATTTTGTGTATTTTTTTTACACAACATTTTTTGCGTCCACGGTGAAAGCCGATCTGGCGATCCACAGCACTAAGTTGATGTATTCCCTCAGCGACCAGCACGGATCAGCTCTAGGCATGACGTTTTTTTTTTTTAGAGATGATACCTTGGTAATACCATGTTTGGTATCAGTACAATTTTTTATGTTTTTGAAAGAAGTTTCTTCTACTCACCAAGGCTATATTTGTTTTTTGATCGAAAATTTTTTATATTTTTTACCATTTAAAATAACAGTTTTCTATGTGACTATATTATAAAATGTAATTTATTCCCGTGATAAAAAGCAGAATTTTCAGCATCATTACTCCAGTCTTCAGTGTCATGTGATCCTTCAGAAATCATTCTAATATATGGATTTGCTGCTAAAGAAACATTTCTGATTATCAATGTTGAAAACAGTTGTGCTGCTTCATATTTTTCTGGAAACCGTGATGCATTTTATTTTTCAGGATTATTTTATGAATAGAAAGATCGAAAGAACAGCATTTATTTGAAACAGAAATCTTTTGTAACATTATAAATGTCTTTACTGTCACTTTTGATCAATTTAATACAACCAAAAAAAGTATCAGATTCTTTGAAGAAATATTTGATACCGTAAATAAGGTATACGGTAAGCATTCGGTACTTTGGTATTATCCCATACCTCGGTACTGTGTCTAATGTTAAATATGCCATATAGTCTTTACTTCTGTGTATTACTTAAACTTCAGGATCCACAAGCGATGCATTTCCTCATTTTATTTGTAACACTATCTCCAATCTAACAATCTTACACTTGCGGAAGTGGAGTCACTGTGTCAAAATGCATTCACATGTGCCATTTTTGGCTCCTTTCGGCGTGGTTCTGTGAAGTTATTGATTTTTTGGCTATAACAGTTTTTAAAAAGCGCACTATCGTTATGACAGTGTCACAGTGGTGTGACTGAAGCGTGGCAGCGTTTGGTCACTTTACTCTGCGAGTGTGAATAATTCAGTGTGCTTTAGCGCTCAAGTACAGCAGTAAAGTGAGATTTAACCTCTATTACGCAGCATCTTTAATTAACGCCGGCTGCTGAGTGAAACTGTACAAAATCATGTGTAATGTGGAAACTTCTTCATTTTCATAGTCAAATGTATTTATATAGTCCTTATAATACACATTGTTTCAGAGCAGCTTTACAGAAAATCACGATGTTGATGTATATTTTAAAATCTTCATGCCTTATAGTTGCATTTAGCAGATAAGAGCTGTGCAATAATATACTTTACAATTTGTAACGATATAAATAATTAAAGTTGATGTTGGTTATATAGTATATTAATATAACCTAATGCAAATATACTCGCATATCCAACTTAATATAAAGAGATAATTGATAATGTATAAAAATGGAGGTACTGGATGTACTATATATCCAATGTACCAGTAAATGATGAGTTTAATTATATATGAATGCTTATGTTAAGTATCTTATACTACCTATACAGTTTCTGCAATATTATGTACAGTTAACAAAAGTAACAAAAATGGTTAATGGTGATTGATTATTGTTAAGAATAAATGTAATTGTATTTATTTGAATGCATATTTTTTTATGCTGTATTTATTTGCATTTATTATTTGTTCTTATAAAACGGATAGTTCCGGTCCTTGATTCTGATTGGTTGAGCCACGTTCGAAGCTAAATTTTCGAAGTAAATTACACTACAAACATACACCTTTGTTTACTTCTGTGTGTTGCTCGGCAACCACTTTGTTGGAACCTCAACTGATTCTGAGGAACTACATTGTTTGGTGGAAGAATACTGTTTTTATTAATATCATTACACTTTATTTGCTCTGTTTTATTTTGTGAAACCTTACAACGTATATAGAAAAAACATTTTATAAAAGCAATAAGCCCCGTGAAGCCGTGGTTTACAGTGAGTTTATAACAGCTAAGGGTGTTTAACAACGCCCCTAGCTGTTATAAATTCACTGTAAACCACGGCTTCTTGGGGCTTATTGCTTTAATTTACTTCCATTGATTGGTTTTATTATATTGCTGATTTATAAAAGTAATAGGCCACTTGAGATTTGATGTATATCTCACCATGCACTGAATGATTTAACAAACATTTACCACAATATTTACATGCATTCAAAGAATGCCATGGTTCGTTGTGTCTAACACTTCATGAAGATCAGACTTTTTACATGCTGTGCATCGATAATGGATCAAACATTGCTGGTTTTTCATGCTGACGGTTGATCGATCAGGGTGTGCCCCTGCGTCCCAATGTGCATACTATCCACCCTATCTGCCCTAAATAGTATTGAAAATTACTAATATCACATAGAATTTAAGATGGATAGTATGCACATTGGGATGCAGGCTGTGTGTGTGTGTGTGTGTGTGTGTGTGTGTGTGTTAGTTACGGTTCTACACACTCCTGTGTGATGAGCACTAATGAGGGTGTGTTTTCCCACAGGCTCAATCTCCGGGAACTCGGGCCGCTCGCCGCTCACATGCGCTGGTTTGTGTGGCTGATGGCGGCCGCCGGGACCATCTATGTGTTCAACTACCACGAGAAGTATGTTTGACTTCACCACAATGTCTTATGATGTCAGGGGATGCCAGATACATTGTATCTTAATTATGCAAAATTGATAATAGACACAAAATGTTAAATTATATGTTGTTGAATGTACAATTAGACTGGTTGTGATTATTGGTAGAGTAACCACAAGTATTTTGCAAGTCCCAGTCACGTACAGTACAGTGAGGACACATACAGTTAAATACATACAATTAATTAAATATTCATTAAATATTACAATAATTAATTTTATTATTTATAAATTATTATTGTTAAAATTAGGGGCAAGATTGAGAATCAGCATGCACAAAGTGTTTAATAATTTTTTTGTTGAATGTACAACTTGGCCGGTTGTGATTTATTTAAGGTAGCCACAATTATTTTGCATTTTAAAGTCTCAGTCACATACAGCCACCCAAGTGAGCACATACGCGTTTTAAATAAATAAAATAGTAAATATTATAATGTTATGATTTGTATCATTTATAAATTATTAATATAATCATAAATTATTATTATTATTATTTATATAACAATAATAATAATAACAATTATTATTAAATAAAATATTTACAAAATACTTTAAGGTGTTATTTGCAATATTGGTTTACACATCCTTCAAGAAAATCTATAAAGAATATACAAAACTATATAAAAATAAATAGCATTTGTATTTCAAAGTAAAATAATTTCTTAAATTGTGTGTGGATTAAGCACAACAGAATGGGTAATTAAACATGCACAAAATAGAAAATGAAATAAATGAACACTATTTACCTGTAGAAATTCCCCTGAAGTGAGAGAGATGTTTAATTGTCATGATTTATTTGTATTGGTGTGTGATGTTAAAGCGTGTGTTTGTGCAGGTATAAGTTAGTGGAGCTGGCGTTCTACCTGACCATGGGCTTCTTTCCTGCGCTGGTGGTGACATCAATGGTGAGTCTATGAGCTCAACTTAATCTGATCTATGTGCTTCTAAAGGCCAAGTACTAATTAGCAGACCCCTAATTAACCTGACCATTTAAAGCTGGTGTAGGAGGAGTCATTGCAGAGGACGGAGAACGGATTGTAGACGGGGTTCCCACGCTTCTTGAAAGTACTTGAATATCAATCGCATGGATTCAAGGCCTGAAAAGTACTTGAAAACAAATAGAAGTCCTTGAAAGTGCTTGAATTAAATTTGAAATAAATTTAGTTTAGTAGAATGTGCTATTTCAAAAATTGTCTTATATGCGCTGTCAAAGACAAAACGAAACTGCGCTAATGATTGGGGGTTGAGATAGTGTAGCGCGAGAAAAAAACTTAGCGTGTGAGCTGATGCACAGCCCTGCATGAACCTATAGAGAAGCAGTGTATTTGCGAATGAAAATTACTGCGTGCAACTTTGAAAACAAATATTTAGGAGCACCAGTGCGACTGACCCGATCAGCATATTTGTGTTTGCGCTCAGGGGAGCTTCAAAGGTTTCTAACTTATTTACAACGTGTTTTTGCTGCGTTGAGTAATGTATCACAGACAAATCTGTTGATTCCTTGAACACAATGTTAATCAGAATCCACTCACTGCTCAAACACCTGAGTTTTGTTCAGTGCTGAGTTCTGCAGTCTCACGAATCCTCTCATTATTGCAAACAAAGTGTTGACCGGGTGTAAATAAGAGATTCATTGTGCAGTGTAGGGAGCTTCGTCGATTATAATGGAACTTTGTGAGATCGCGATGAGTGAGTGACAGATTTTAATGATTATTAAGGGAGTTTGCAAATGTGATATTGATTTAATACAACAGTTCATTAAACAAGAAATTAATATTAAGTGACTTGCATTGTCTGACTACAACACTATTGCCTGATTTTGCTCTATTTCATCAACGAAAATAGTTTCAAACAAAGTCACAGCTGAGCCGCTGCGCATTTCCAAGCAAACACAGCGGTGTTTCGTTTATGAATGAATGTGCGTTTTTAAACAAATCTGAATAAATTACCCATTCATAAAGCCAGTCACTTGCTTCATTCCTGAATTAATTAGTCGTTCGAACAAATCAATTGAATGAATGATTCAGTGATAAACTCAATGATTTGCCGCCACCTACTGGCAGTTTAACTTTCATTTTTAAAGGATCTTTTCTGTTATTTAATTCGTTTAACATTTCTATATTCAAAATTTTATATTTAAAATATTAACCTCAACATGAATTTATGAATTAAACTCCACTCATGCCACCTCTGAGCTTCATTAAACATCTGAAAATACACCTACAAGCCACTTTTGTGATCTTCTGTGCCACCTCTGTGGTACAAATTATTTTTTTTATACTGATTTTATTTGATTGGTAACTTATTCTTATTCTACTTGATTTTATTCTGTTGTTTTAATTAGAAATTTTAAAAAGCTTATAAATATAATGTTTTTGAATTTTACATTAAAGATGACATACTTTTAATAAAGTTAGAAAAATGCCATTACAAAGGTGTAAAAACTAAATTCCCTGTAAATCACTTTGAGTCAAATATCATCTCGTAATGGGAAGGCTAATATTTGATCAGAATTTTTGATTATTGATTAGAAGGTGCTCCTAAATTTTTTTTTTTAATTTTAAAAGAAAAGTACGCGTAGAGCCCTGTTTAACCATTTTTTATTAATTAAAAAATTGAGAAATTCTCTCAAATTTAAATATTTTACAAGAATTACAGCAAAAACCAGTTTGATGCAAGAATATATATTTTTATTAATATTTGAGAAATTGTATTTGAATATTACCAGTGTGAACTCCATTGACTTCAATGGATTTCATTAAATTCCTTTGAACACGACTGCTCAAAGTGGTCGAAATGTATGAAACCTACACATTCAAAACCTCATTACTCTGAAATGTTTTATGTAAATGTTAAGTGTAAGTGAAAAGTTAAGTACTGTAACAGGTCTTTCATGATGCTACATATGCTGGGGGTGTGAATTTGATAGGTGCTTGAAATTAAATAAATAGTGCTTTAAAAAGTCCTTGAATCTGGTGTTCATGAAAGAGTGGGAACCCTGTGTAGATGTAAATATCCAAATGTTAGTGCATCGAACATCAACAAAAGCCTTAAAATGACTTCAGAAGTATTTCTGTATTATAGATGTGAAGAAAACTAAATGTATAGTCACCATGATGTTTTATAGTGACACAAGAAATTTCCAACCTTCCCTTGAAGGAAATGTGATCACCTTCACCTTTGACCCAGTTTTTGAGTCCTCAGGCTGTTCACTTTAACCTGTCACACCTGAAATGTTCACTATGCAACCGACTCACGCTTGATGTGGGATTTCCGCAATTCAGAATCAAACACAACAGCATTTGAATTGAGTCACTGATACACCTGATTAGAATTGAATAAAACCTTTACCACATGGACAATTACATGTGAATCTCCCAAAAAAATTCCAGGTCATAGTTTACCCAAAAATCAATTTATAATCGTTATATAATAAATATATATATATATATACTGTATATGAGCAATATCACTCTCGTACTCGAGCGATACCAGCTCTTTATCAGCATGGCTGTGATTAGACCAGAGGCACGAGGCCGGAGGCAATCACAGCCGCTGATATAGAGCCGGTATCGCTCGAGTACAAGAGTGATATTGCGTTTATACAACAGTTAAACGGAACATGTGTGTAATTAAACAAGAAACAACGGAGTGCCTAATAAAACCCTCTTTTGTGCGGAACTATTTCCTTCCGCCAAGGATTCAAAGCTCAAGTTAACAGTTAAACATGCGTCACTTTTAGTATCAAGGGCATGTGCTGCTTCAGTTAGGTTATTAGTGAGAAATAATGCGGCAAGACGTGCATCCAAATGAGAGAGAGAGAGAGAGACCGCGAAGCTAGACGTTTCTTCTTATATTAACTAACGTACTCTACGATTAGCTCAGTGAATAATAATAAAAAAAAATTAAAAAAATGGACCCGGCTAGAACAAGCGGAGTGATACAACATTGTGAAAGGGAGTTCCTGTAGCAATACCAGTACAATATCTCACGGTTCTCAACCAATCAGATTTCAGAACCAGAACGAACTGTTGTGTATATATATATATATAAATATACATGTTAGGAGAGTTTAATCACAAAATAAATTTTGGAATTTAAGTATTGTAATAAGTGTATTAATATAATGCACTGAGAGATGTGTTTTCTTTTCATGTAATCCCAGTCATTTTTAATGTATTACTTACAAAAATTACTGTAATATTCATATTTGTAATTATTCTAAAATATATATATATATATTTTTTTTTTAATATTTAAGATTATTTTTCATGAGTTGAGATAAAAATAAAAAGTGTCAATTTTTTTTATTTTTTGTAGTGTAACAGCTACGTTAATGTAATGGACTTATAAATGTCTTGTAACCACAGTTTTTTTTTTTTTTTTTTCTGTATTACAAACAATACTAACATTAAAAATATAATATAATCCTATATTCATATGATTCATATATCAATTTTCATTATTACTTGTTTTCTTTTGACTTCTAGGTGAAATATGATCCAGGCATAGTTTGACAGCTTTTGTGAGATTCAGCCTTACATATACAGTATAAATACAGCACGTGTGTACAGTGTGCATTGTGCAATACAATAAAGATTTGGGTTCGGTGTAGTAAGCAAACAGAGATGCTTTGAAATGTAATCACTATTGATAACCTTTGCTTCGGGTTTGCATGATGTTTGAGTCAAAAACAGCAGCAGCTCTGTGTTCATTACATACCAAATACAGCATGTGTCTCATGTCACAGACACTGACGCCACCTTGTGGTTAGGAGCAGTAGTTACACTTGCTTGAAAAAATAACCAAATAAAACTCCCTGCATTCAAAGCTCAACTTTTCCTTTGGCTTTTGGATTATTGCAAAAAAAATAACCTCTGTGACCAACAAAAGTTTACGATTCGTACATGTTCATCATCAAATCTTCACAACGTTTATGAATTTTGAAGCCTAAATGCAGTTAGCAGAAGTAAAAAGCTAAACGTTGGCTATAAATGAACTGCACAACGACTTCAACGTCACCATTGTTAAGCGTCTAACAACTCTTTTTTTTTTTAATCTTTATTTTAAAACATTTTCCTTGAAAGTTTGAGGTAGGATAGTTTGCAACGGCGTGATTCTAAACACAATGAGGCTGTGAAAGCGACTAGTGAGTAGACGAGTTTGTCTGTTCAGTGGGATGATGTTTAATGTAGTCCCATTTGGACACTTGTTAGCAACTGCCTTTTTCAAGACAAGTAAGAGTTTCAGAAAAAAATCACAGGGGCATATTGCTAGTGTATTTTTTTGTAGAATAAAACATGACAATATCTTGAGCTTAACCCTGAACTTAACCTGTGTTAACCACAGACCCTATTTCAGGTATTAAATCAAAAATCCATTCAAAAAAAACGTTGAATTGTTAAAATGTGAACTCGTTTCAGGGTGTCGGCCTCCAAAAATACTTCATTCCTGCAACGCTCCATATGCAGCACCATCAAAACATTATTAATGTTATTTCTGTACCTTTTACACATCTGAGATGTAAATATAGTAGATTACACTCTTAAAAATTAAGGTTCTTTATTGTCATTGATGCTTCTATGTAGAACCTTTTGTTGTAGAATAAAACAATTGAAGAAAATGTAAAAATGGCTACGTTTACATGCAACCAAATAATCCAATTTGTAATCGGATTGACGGCTCAATCGGACTGAAAAGATCGGATTGAAGGGGGTGGTTTATTCCTTTTCTAATACGATTGAGAGTGCATGTAAACACTCGATCGGATTGAACCCCGAAACTGAAAGGACTGCGCATGTGCAATGATGCAGAAATATCGTAATGACGTATGACGCGCGGAACGAGCGGTTCTTCCTTTTGAATAAAGTGATGTATAAATGCATGTCCTGTCATTATAAAACTCTCCTTTCACTCGGCAACTGTGAAGTGGATCAGGACAACCTCCCACCAGTCCTTGTTTTGGATTTTCATCCACAGGCAACCCGTTTTGGGCGCGGGCATTTTTACTGTGTGATAAATATGAGCAGCACGGCACAGCGGTTTATATGTATATTTATCCATAAATTAATAAATATTAATTCTGCTGTTAAAAACAAATAAATAAACCGTGTAGGAGAGTGGTTATTATGTGCAAACAGTTAGAAACTCTATATTTGTGCAGTGTGCGCATGTAAAAAAAAAAGAATTCCGATTTGAAGCTTGTGACATATAAACGCGCACATCAACCCGATCACTTTCTTTAGCGTTCATGTAAACACTACATTCAGATTCATCAATCGGAATGAATTCAGTCCGATTGAACCAAAAATTGTGCATGTAAACGTAGCCAATGTAGAATTAACTTGAACTTAACCTGAATTTAACCTAAACTTAACCTGAACTTAACCTGAATTTAATCTAAACTTAAACTGAACTTAGCCTGAATTTAACCTAAACTTAAACTGAATTTAACCTAAACTTAACCTGAACTTAACCTAAACTTAACCTGAACTTAACCTGAATTTAACCTAAACTTAACCTGAACTTAACCTAAACTTAAACTGAACTTAACCTGAATTGACCTTAAACTTAACCTTGAACTTGACACACATGGTTCCATGAAGAACCTTTAACAATCTTTCCATTGCTTATCATGGAAAGAGGTTTTAAAATGTTCTTCACTAAGATAAAATGCTTATTTTAAGAACTGACCACTGAAAGGTTCTTTGTGGAACCAAACATGGTTCTTCTATGGCATCAATGTTCCTTTTTGGAACCTTTAGTTTTATGGATTTTTGCCTGGTTTTCAATTTGTCAAATGTGTAAAAACACAACTTTATTCGATGATTTTCATGTCAGTAACTGTGTTTGGTTCTTGTTTTGATCAGAGTAACACAGACGGGCTGTACGAGCTGGCGTTCGGAGGCTTGGTCTACTGCCTGGGTGTCGTCTTCTTCAAATCAGACGGTGTGATTCCGTTCGCTCACGCCATCTGGCACGTGTTCGTGGCTCTTGCTGCCGCCATCCACTACTACGCCATCTGGAAGTACCTGTACCGCAGTCCCCCGCTGGAGGACATCAGGGATGCTTGAGCTCCTCTCCCTCATCATTTCCTCCTCCATCACCAAAACATCACAACCGGATGCTCCAAACACCAACATTTACCAGTACGACCATGCAATGTTTACGGTTTTCTAACCAACTGGGATCAGTGAAGTGTGTGTGAGTGTGTGTGTGTGTGTGTGTGTGTGTGTGTGTGTGTTGCAGTACTGAATGCACATTTGCCACAGTTGCAACAAGACGGCAATGTTTGTGGGGTTTTTTTCCATTTTCATTAGTATTATGTAAAGACATTCCACTGAAAGCAGATGAATTGTGATTCTTTTTGATATTTAATGATTTTTCCGTCCATTCAGTCACACACACACACACACACACACACACACACACACACACACACACACACACACACACACACACACACACACACACACACACACACACACACACACACACACACACACACACACACACACACACACACACACACACACACACACACACACACACACACACACACACACACACACACACACACACACACACACACACACACACACACACACACACTCAGTAGCAGTTTCATATCATCTGTAGTGAATTACTTTTCTTTACTCGTGTGACTTTCTGTATCAAATCTGTATTTTTGCGTCTCAACTCACTGAGTTTTTACTTCAGACGTACGGCTAGTTGTTTTCTACAAAGCGCTAGTGGTTTTCTACACTCCTGGCGTCTCCTTCCCCTGTGTTTCTGCTCTTTCAGCAGGATTTGAAAGTGTTGCACAGAGCTTTTTTTCTAAGCAGCACGTTTCTAACAGGAAGAACCACTTCTCTTTGATACTCCATTTGTAGGCTGATGGCGGATAGAAACGATGTTGAATGCTTCTCTGCACAACCAGGTTTATGATGCTATAGGATGTTTTATCTCACCGCCTGAACCACCTTAACGACACTTTGTGAAGTTTCTCAAATTTGGCACAATATTCGATGGGCTTGTGATTAAGAAGTGTTAGCCAATGACATTTGAATGACATCCTAGAATAACATCCTGTGTCTGTTATGATGAATCTGACAAAAACGGGCCATATTTCACCCCAAAATCTTGAAAAGTTTAATTGCAAAAATGGAATTGCAAAAAAAAAAAAAGAAGTTGAATCAGTAAAATTGCAATTGCATTGCAAGAAACTAAAGCATACTATTTTTAGGACCATTATGTTTTTTTTTTGTTTTTTTTTGCATTGACGTTCTCATGACATTTTTCTTCTCATTACTATAGAGTTTTTATTATAATATATAAGTATATGTATATTTAAAATAAATAACTACTACAGTAATACATTTATTTATATATATATATATGAACTTGGGGGATAATGTGCTTAATGTCATAAATTTCACAATGCAAAAAAAAGTGCTTTTTTTTAAAGAAAAATTACCAAAAATTTATTTATTTATTTTTTTTCATTTTGATTTGAAGTGAAATATGACTCTACAATGTTCTTTACAGATTAATGATATTTTCTTAGATATCGACAGTGCAATATGGGCAAACGAAACATTTCGGAACCAATGTTCTTTTTCTGGCACGATATCTCCTGCTAATCGGTGCCAGCAAAACGCTCATCATCCCATCATGCACACCACTACCTGACAGCACCAGGATCATCTTTTATCATTCCGAGGACCTTCTCTGGTTTCTGTCGCGTTTCTGCAGGAGACACTGTGACACTGTGAATGCGTTCGGCTTTGATCGCAGTTTGACTTTGCAGTTCTGGTAAAGCACTGATCTGGTGGGATTCAGGAAACGTTGTGATCCGATATGCAGCTGCTTGCATATTTAAGTGTTTTCGCATAAAGCCTGAAGCTCTTGTTTTGTAATATTTTCACTGTGGTCTATAAACATGCTTATTCTTCTTCTCATGTCGTGTCGGAATATCCAGAATTACTTTTTCATCCTGTAATTACAGACTTTAAAACGAACGTTTATGCAAGCGCTGATACAAGTAAAAGCAGGTTTTCTACACATTTCTTCTTCATATGCTATTAGATTTTTTGCTGGTTAATTATTATATGTCCTGTTTTTGTAATTCTGTAAGTTTCGTTATGATTTGGGGATGTCTGATGAGATGTGTTAGGACATTTTGACCACCTCTTATACTCTGGGACAGACTTTTGTAAAAATCTTTCTACAACCTGTTTTGGCACATAATTCTGACTCAAATCCAACTCCAAAACTTCTTCTAACGCTTCTGATGTTCTCATCACACATCATTCTAGTGTTTTGGTGCTGGTGTTACTATAAAGACTACATGTGTCCAATACTGAACAAGTCTCTAAAGTGTTAATAAACACGAGCAGTAACTCTCGTGCATGTGTGTTTGTGATCATTTCGTCTGGAATATTGTGGCTCAGTCCATGTTTCACACATGGCACAATGAAGACTTTAAGGCGGTTGCTATTATTTGATCATTTGATTATTTGAAAAAAAGGTGTAGGATTTACTTTTAATAATTTTCCACTTGACACTTTACAATAAGATCTCACTTGTTAACATTGGATAAAATTAACTAAGAATTAGTGCTTCTGTAGCATTCATTAATCTCGACGTTCATCATTGAATATTTACCAAAATGTTAATATCATGTTATTGTTAACAATATCTAATGCACTGGAAACTTATGTGAACAATGAGCAACTGTATTGTTATTAACTAACAAAGATTAATAATTGCTGAAAAAATATATTGTTACTTCATGTTAATACAGTGTATTAATGTTGTTGAAAATGAAATGAGAGTTTATAGTGAAATTACTGAAACGGCTTATTTTGAATAGAAATTGGTAAAGAAATGTACTATTTAGAGACGAATGTATTAGCAAAGTAATCTAAATTCAAAAAAAGTATTGATATAAAGGAGAAATATATTTATTATTTATATTTTTTTAAACAATTACATTTTATTGCTATATTGTATTTTGTGTCATGTTATTTATTATTATATTATTAATAATCCATGTATACTAATTATACATGTATTAATCATACATGTGTAATAATAATTTATGTACTGAAATAATGTTTTGGAGTGATTTATCAGTGCATGTTATTCCTATAAGAAAAAAAAAAACTTTTTGAATTATTGTAATCAAAATGAAATAATATACCCAACCTGATTTTAATCGCAAATTTGTATAATTTCTAGAATAGAACAAATAGGCTAATGTCTAGAATTCAGACAAACCAAGTTATGAAAAAAGACAATCACAGATGTTGAGAGAAAATCTGAAGTCTTTATTGGACACTAAATGTACAGAGAAACAAGGAGTCAAAAGGTGGCAGCAGAGAGTAAAGGTTCAGGTTTCTGCTTCCATTTGCGTGACACACAAGATCAAACATCTCCAGCTTTGAGTCTCTCTCATAGACTGTCTGCAGGTGTTGCCTTCAATACGGCGGTTTTTGTCTTTTCAAGACAAAGACATTTTGGGGTCAGTCTGATTGGAGCAGCGCGGGAGCCCTTTCCATGCATGTTCGATCCGGTCCAAGTAATTTAAGCTTTAAAATGTGTGTGGAAACGTATGTTGTAATTCAAGGCACTGGACTAAACAGGTTCAATATGGTTATAGGTTCCTTTCAGGACTGAGGTAGGGAATTTTACCAAAGAAAGACGCCAAGCAGTTTCACACAATCTCACTGCGGTGTCCTGGAAAACGGAATAGCCTACTGCAAAAATGAATTTATAAGATTACGCAAGATTGCCAAACTGTCCATCTTGAGCTGTTTCTGGTCTAATGCTGCTTTCACGTGCTATCAGAAATTTCTCATTTCTGAAGTTGGTTAATAACGAATTAATCGAGTTCAGCTGCTTTGATGTCGAATGTGATCATATTTTGAATAAAATACGGTTAGTTTACAATCCGCGCTAAATATCGAGATGGTTGCTACTTTATTCTTATATTTCAGTGAAATATGCTGCTTTCGCTGTGTAAAATACATAAAAATACACACCAATTTGTTATACGTCAATATACATGGATGTAAGGACAATGCGTTCACATTTACCGGGTTTTTTTTTCAGCGAAAATTCACGTGCGAAATCCAGTCATTCCAATAGCGTGATAGCGAAAACGTTCATTTTCAAGTTGGTTACATGATATATGATTTCTGTGTGAGCAATGCTATATACGTTGCGTGACAATTGCAAATGGATATTTTGTGCGTGCGAAATTTCGTTAATGTTACAACCATCACTGCAACAATAGTTCTTTCCTACGCCATGTTTAAAATTTATGATTCGCGCAACTTGGAAAATCAGGTATCAAAATGATCTCAGTTTCCCAGTCATAACTACAAACTGATAGGCAGTTCATGTCCAATTTGTTCATATTTACGATAATTTTGATAGCACATGAAGGAAACATAAATGGTGGCCTATAGGACTCAAACCTATTTAACCTGAAATAACTTTCCCATCTAACAAGGAGAGGAACACATTGGTGAAATGGTATTTTCGGGGGTCATTATTGACGAGAAGCAGTTTGGCTTAATCCTGGATTTATTTCAGTTTTGCACAGATAGAAACAGACTATACAGGGCTTTATACATGCGTCTCACATCTGCATTTATACCACAAACAAACAGACATGAGGAAGAAAATCAAAGGAAATTAAATGAAACAATAAAAAAAAAAACAGTGTAATTTCTTCCCCATCAATCTTCAATAATACAAATCTGTGCACATCTCAACTTTGGCCTGAACTGGGGCAGACGAGGACTTTTACTGTCGACAAAGTCACCAGCGCATCAAACGCAATTTCTGACCTGAAATCAGAAGTCCTGTATTTAAACCCTGTAACTTCTAATAGAATAAACAGAATACAAACTGATCTCAGACCAGAAAAAAAAAAAAACTTTTACAGAACCTTACGAAACCTTGTACTCAAACCCAGTGACTCCATCGACAACAAGACTTTTCTAACATTCAACCAAGCAAAAGCTCTCAGAGCTGCCGCACTAAACATTCAATATCAACACTCTGCTGTGAAAAAGACTCAATTATATAGACTAAAAAGCATAGCCTTTAGATTTCCATTCAAAGAACCAATAGCAATACTGTAAAATGCTCTGTAATGAAACACAGCATCAAGAGTGTGAGTTAGACTGAGGAATTGCAGCTCCTTCCTATAGGAAAAAACGACTGATGTACAGAACACAGCAATATATATATAGATATATTTAATATTTATTACGAGTTATGGTTTGAGGTCCAGCTGCTAGCATTCCCTGAGACAGAATACTAAAGGCTATTTGAATATGAGGGTGCAGAAGGTTTTTAATGCCCAAAATAGAGGACATGATGGCGGGTTTCGCATTTACTCCCAGTTATATACTTCATAATATATCAAAACACTATGTCACTTAGCTTTGAATAATAGATATATATGTAAGCTATCATATATTTCTCTTGCACTACTCTGGATTTGTTGTGCCTTGAAAATATTCAGACAGTATTATATAGGAAAAATACTGTACAAAAAAAGCAACTTAGAATAGATTTCATATATATATATATATATATATATATATAAATATATATATATATATAAACATTAAAACTCTGTTTTATCAATAAATCTGTGTGCTGTATCTTTTGGTCTGCAGTAAACAAACTGATTTCAACCACAGTATTTGAGACAACACCGTCCTGCTCAACGAATGGCTCAAAACCTCTTAAAACACATTCATTACAGTCATACAGATGACAGACACGCCAAGCTACAAAACAAAAAGAAAGAAAACAAATCACTACAAATATCTGTTTGTACTGACTTAAAAACAATATATATATATATATATATATATATATAAACATTAAAACTCTGTTTTATCAATAAATCTGTGTGCTGTATCTTTTGGTCTGCAGTAAACAAACTGATTTCAACCACAGTATTTGAGAAAACACCGTCCTGCTCAACGAATGGCTCAAAACCTCTTAAAACACATTCATTACAGTCATACAGCCGACAGACATGCGAAGCTACAAAACAAAAAGGAAAATAAATCACTACAAATATCTGCTTGTACTGACAAATGAAAATTCTAAAACATGCTCTGGGTAAAAAAAAAAAATTATAACAATAAAAATAAAAAGATAGGATAGAATAATCATCCATCCTAAAAAAGAAGGAAAAAAAGAAAAGAAAAAGACCCATTCACAATTAGATTTAGGCTGCAACTCTGCAAAGTCATGCTGAAATATCCAATAAAACAATAAACAATCAGGAAAAATTACTATACAGCCATAACAATAAGAACAGCTATAACAATAGTAGTAATTAACAGCTGAATATTTTTGAAAAAATTTCTTCCATTCAAAAAAAATAAAATAAAACGAAAGTCCATAAATATATCAGGCAGATTATAGTGTAGGTAGAAACATTGCACCAGATCAGATTGTGAAACACGCATTAGTGCAGGGAGTTAGAGCGAGACAGAAAGACAGAAAAATATGGATTCAGCATTTTTGGAGGGAAAGTTTTGAAGGGAAAGTTTCCGCACTACAGCAGAAATGATGGCGCTATGAAACAGGCTAGCTTACATTTCATGTGTTTTGCCCTCTGAAGAGATTCAGGCTTATTGCTCTATGGACAATGCGGGAAAGACGCCAAAAACTACGCTGGTGTTGGTTTAAAAGAAATGGTGAAATAAAACAGACAAAACACATAGAATAGGAAAAGAACAAAACAAACATCATGTTCTGACGCTAGCTAGTGTTTTACACACTTCACAGAACGAAAGGTGTCGGTGCGTTACAGCTATTCAACTAAAATACATTAATATACACAAAAAGAAGCTAGAGCAACAGGAAGTGGGCGGAGCCTCTGGGAAGAGGGGGGTGGGCCAAGCGGTTGATTGACAGACAAGAGGGCGAGCGGCGAGGAAAATATTTATCAGTCCATGTTACAGGTGTATAAAACACTCCAGAGAAAACCATTTCCAGATAAACGATCCATCGTTGGTGAAGGAATAAATGGACGAACGGAACAAATAAAAGGAAAGAGAGAGAAGTGAATGTGTGAAACTACACAAGAGGAAAAACACACACATGAAATACAAAATCAACTAAAGAACGCAAACTGGGTTTGTAAAGAGAAAAGTGAAAAGAGAAACGTGAAAAAAAAAAGAAGAGGAGAATTTGTCGCCTCTTAAAGAGGCACGCAGAAGTCCCTGGGGGGTTGGTGGTGGGCAGGGCATTTGTGGAGGTGGGCGGGGTTTGTGCGGGGTGGGAGGGGCTCACAGAGGGCCGTGTCGCGCCTCGTATTTGACCAGAATGTTCTTACAGCGGCCGAGTTCCTTCCGCAGGTCGGCCACTTCCTGTCTGAGCGCCACGTTCTCTTTCTCCAGGAATCCCGCGCGAATGGCGATCTGGTTCTCTTTCACCCGGCGAGCATCCCGGGAGCGTTTGGCTGCGAAGTTGTTCTTTCTGCGCCGTGCCCAGTATCTGTCGTCCTGTGTGGAGATGGAGAGAGAGAAACAAATGAAAAACGAGTTATCCGTTCGGCAGTTAATTTTGACAGCAAATTTTGATTTAGTTTTAGTCATAGTCTTTTGATGAAAATGCCATTTAGTTTTAGTCATCTGAATTAGTTTTAGTCTAGTTTTAGTCGACTAAATATCATACAATTTTAGTTGACTAAATTTGAAGTAGATTTAGTCGACTAATATCTAAAGGGATTAGTTAAATTGTAATGCATTATTATTATTATTATTATTTTTTATTTTTTTTTATTTTAGTACATCATGTTAAGCTAAAGCTTATAAACTAAATGAAATAAAATATATATTTTTTTTAATTGATGTATTTTAGATATTTATTTCCTATTCTATAGATTTGTTTTATAATTTCAGTTAACATTTATTTAATTCCAATTAATGAAGAATATTTGTATGGTTTTAGTTTTAACTATAAAAACCTGATACTAGTCAAATGTATTTATGAAATAATATTTTGATGTTCTTAGTCTGTCCATCCTGTGATGGGGAATCCCAGACCGAAGCTACAATAGTTGTTAATTAAATTGAAATTAAATTAAATAAACTAAATACAGTTTATGTACCCAAAATATCAATAATCACCAGGAAAAAAGCTTGAAATACACCGTGACTCTTATTTTGAAATGTCTGCACTGTTGACTGTACAGTTTCAGGCTACTCATTCAAGTTCAGATTCTTACAACCGTCTAAAACATATTACCATATAAATATTGTATAGTAAACATTGTCATAATTCATCAACATTAGTTCATAAGAAATCGCTTGGCATAAATGTGCGCTATTCATTGATTACAACCTGCACTGAAGCAGTCAGAAGCGTTGCTGCGTGAGCCTGTAGAGCGCGCCACAGCACCGCGTTTCCCCACAGTTAATGTTCGTAACTACCACGTAAAACATTAGTCCCGACTGAGTCTGTATATCTTCCCAAATCGTCCTTCCCTAACATTTTCGTCTCGTTTTTATTTGTTAACAGAAATTAGAGTATATTTTAGTTTTAGTTTTTGTCATTAAAAACAGTTTTTTTTAGTTATCGTCTCGTTTTCATCGGTGAGAAAATGTTGTTGACGAAAATTATGACGAAAATAATTAATCAACGAAATTAACACTGCCGTTTGGAATTTCCGCTGTTGACAAAATTCCATTAAAGATTCTATTCTGCAAAAATTCTTTAAAAACAACCAAAAAAAAAGTATTTTTATACATTTTCTGACATGTTTTTAGACAGATTTAGATTTAGCCTACAGTCACATGACTCGTGACTAACTCTCTGATTGGCTGCTCTCTGTCGTCTCTTTGTGCGTCATGCTTTAGTGTTTATGTTTACCTTCAAGTCCTCTGGAATGAAGACCTTGCGCGCCTTCTTGATCATGGGCTGCGGCTTCAGCTCCTCTGCTGAGAATTTGCGCTTGCGTGGGTCGAAGATTTCCTGTCCCGGGACACTGGAGAGGGCGAGGTCGGCGGGGTCGGGCTCGTACCTGACCGGAACCTGGATCTGGTCTGGATCTATGGGACTGGCTGTGTCACGTGAGGGGAGAACTGAGGGAGAAAAACCGAGACAGAGAAGAGAGAAAACCAATCAGGATTTGTTTAAACATGTTTATTAACATTATAGAAAGGAAACTTGCTCAGCAAGCTTCCTTTCTATAAAAGAAGTAGCATAATTAAAACATTAACATCATTATAAAATGCTTATTAGACCAGATAAATTTATTTCAAAAAGTAAAAAAAAAAGGATCAAGTTTCATGTCCTGTTGATTTTTGGTTATGTGCAATACCACTAGTGGACACATGAACCCACCTTATAGATGCACATATTTACAAATATTTAAAATATTTGATTAAAAATCGAAATAATAATCATCTGAATAAGTAATAATGATGAATAAAAAATACTATAAAAATAAATATTAGTTTTATAGTTGTTTATTATAATTTTCGCTACAAAGTAACACTAATAATAATAATATTTGTATGTTTATAAATAACGATATATATATATATATATGTATTGTTTTATAATAGTAATACATCATTATTTATATAATTGTTTTATAGTATAATTTATACCACCAATTAATAATATAAATAATAATGTTATAAATATAGTATTATTATTTACATAATTGTATATAAACAATAATAATTATTATTATTACATTATTAGCTGTTGTTTTATAATATAATTTGAACTACAAAATAATAATATGAATAATAATATGATTTTTAATTATTTTATAAATACATTTACTTAAATTATATATAATAATGTAATATATTAATATAATAATGTAAGTAACTAAGCTTATTGCCTTAAAAACACACTGCATGCACACTGATGCAGTAAAGGTGAAGATTGATTTTAACAAAGACGTCAAACACAAGAGCAAGCGAGTGTGTTGTGAATGTGCGTGTGTGTGTGTCTGTTCGTTAGTGAAGGATTAGAAGATCAAATTAAACTCTTGACTGATTTAAGGGTCATTAAACAGGAGCGGAGAGCCAGGAGCTGGCAAACGTCCACACACGCAATCACACACACACACACACACACACACAATCCTACTGAAACACACACTAACACAACTTTAACTGCACGTAACGCAGACACTCTGAATCACACAACCAGAATATACAATTAAACTCAAAAGCTACTTGTCCTTCATGAGCCGCAGCAGCATGAATATGAGGAGCTGTACAGAAACACACAGCAGGGGTCAGAGGTCACAGCTGTAAGCAATGGGAGGTTTTGTCATGACCCAGATTGCTGCTTAAGCCTGACGAAGCTCTCTCTCTCTCTCTCTGTGTGTGTGTGTTTCCCTGCCAGATTACAAACCAGTAGACAGTAAATCATGAACGACTTTATCTAAACTGACCTGATCAAGACCCGCTTTATGACGTTTTTTTCTGAGTGAGATGTAATGATAATATGGACTTATCTTCACTGCCTTTAAATGATCATATTATGCACGTTCATGCTTATGAGACAAAATCCAACAATAATAATATGTTATCATATAGTATAATTATGAGTGACTGTTTAGGGTCTACAAGTAGGATAAGAAATATTCAAGACAATACATAAGTTATAATAAATAATATATTATTAATTCATAATAAATATTAATATAATTCTAATAAGTATTATTAGTATTTAAAATAGTATAATAAAGTAATATAATCTCTAATTATAATAAAACATATAATATATTTATTATGTACTAAATATAATACTATATTACTATATTATGTTATTAATATAATAATTAGTCATCATTTACAATCATTTAGGATCATCTATCTATAGCAAACAGAATAAAGAGAATAGGCTACGATTAAACATTATTTCAATATTGCACCTGCAAGGAACAGAAAGTAAACAGTCACTCATAAGTTTAATGGTTAGTAGAAAAGCCTGTGAAATGAAGTGTGTGTGTGCGTGTGTGTGTGTGTGTGTGTGTGTGTGTGTGTTTCTAGATCTTCCAGACGTATTCCTGTATAACAGCTCTGATCTCCGCACGACACCGTCTGAATAAACCTTAGTCTGTTCATCTCCGTCAGTCGGAGCATCTGATCTAGGCTTGAGGGGTGGAGGTCTGCTGGCCAATCACAGGCCTCTGTCCGAAGCGGAGGGCGGAGTCTGAGCGCTGACGCAGTGAAAGAAAGCATGTGAGAGTGCAAGTGCTGGGTGGCACAGTAGCCCCTCACGGCAGAACACAAGATCCAGGGGGCGTGGTTGGATCCACATCTAGTGGGTGGAGATTGGTAGGTTTAGGGGTGGAGATGGGTGGGTTTAGGGATCAGGGGGTGGAGATTGGTAGGTTTAGGGGTGGAGATGGGT